CAATAAAGTAAGTAAGTAAGTAAGTAATGCTCCCAAGTACACCCTTAAACTGTCCTGCAGCTATTTAGGATTGTTTTATAGCAAACGTAGAAATAGCGGATACTGATTTGTGTCTCATTTGAAATTGGCACAGCAACTTATAACTTCTATGAATTACTTAATGTTTTAATTAAATACTTTAAACTCATATTCTCAACAATTAATATATGTGTTATCAATTAAGTTTGAAAAAATGAACAAAGATGGGCTGTAAGATAACTATTATTATTAATAGTCGATTGAAAGCAGCTAAAAATAAGTTGTATAAATTGATTGATTTATGTGTACCTGGTTCATAATAATCATATACATTAACAGCAACAGGTTGAATGGCGCTTACCACCTTCTCTCTAGATGCTCGGAAGTTCAAACAGACTTGTTCATCACGAGGGATCTACTCCAACCATATAAAGAGAAACAAATATAAAAGCTATTGCAAGCATAAAAAAGAAAAGAGAGAAAGCTGGATGAACTCATTGCTAGGTACAAACCAGTGAAAGGCCAAAAAACTTACTTCTGGTGGGGGTCATACTGGTGGTTAATTAGGCAGTACACTGGGAGACAATGCATCATGTTCTGTGCTACTGTCAGATTTCAATTCAGTCCTCCAGCGGAACAATAAAGTAGCAGACAGGACTGAATCAAGGACAAAGGTTTACCAGCAGTTTACCCGCCATAAGAAATCAAGAAATGAATTAAGCCTCACTGCTGACAAATATATGCAGTAGTATACTTACACTGTCCAAGTAGAAAACAACTGCTCTATCGTGTTCCTCATATCGTTTCACTAGGTCAACTTCTTGTTTTACCTACAAAAAGAAGAAGCAAAAATAGAGTTTCATCAAATTCAAAGTTGGTTCATCATATTTCAGAGTAAATAAAGAATCGGCGTGTTTTATGGTATTCATGAATAACATCAAGTCAAGTACAGTAGCCTAATTCAACTAAATAACTTTAGTTTTAGTATCATACAGTAGTACATAATTTTTTTAATTTACTTAATTGTTTTATTTTTTCAAGAAAACAACAAATATATTCACCAATTCTAAATCTTCTTTCTTAGCCTTGAATCCGGAGTAAATTCCAACCTCAATAATTGACATACCTGTCTTTTCATGCCCGTGATACCTGAATCAAAGACATTTAAAACCTATTATTAATCGACGTATATTTTAATCAATTAAATTTACTCTAATTTAATTGTATAATCGAAGTATATTTCCATATATGATGGAAGTTATCTTATCCTGCTTGATTAGTTAACTTAATTTAGTTGAAGAAAAAATACAATAAATCGTACCTTGTACATGCTCTAATGTCCAAAATATAGCTGCTTTTGGTAGAAGAACGTCCAATACGTGATCGCGAATTATCTGTATCGATATCAGCACTTGCCTCATCTTCACATCGGCCATCCACTCTATCCCTATTACAATCAGCATCAACTCCCACTTTTTCAGGAGCATCGGTTGGCACGGCAATCAGCCCGTTGACAGGCTTCCAGCCTGTTGAATCCCATTTAGTAGCAATTGCTTCCACGTCAAATGCACAATGTTCTCTTGGTGTCTTAGCGTCCGAGTTGTAGCGCACTTCCACCTGAGAACAATTGAAAAAAGGTTAGGTTGGCAACATAAGCATTAATTCATCAATGAAGCTTTAATAAAACCACACATTGTTGAAATAAATTTCAGTATACTTGTGCATTGGTGTTTTGTGTAGAAAAAATTAAAAACAACATAAAAAATATATAAAAAGAGTGTTATTGTAATAAATAATTTAAAAGAGGAAGAAGTACAAACACTAAAGTTAGAAGAGAAAAATAAATTGATAAAGTGAGGCAGAAGGGATATATGTAACATGTAATGAATAAACCAAATCAAATCATTTGAAGTAGCGAAAGTGACTTTTTTCCATTTACTTTTGTCATAAGGTGAATGCACCTATTACACTATAATAATTATACTGCAAAATACTCACCTGAGCCTGTCCAATCCCTGTACCTGTTGTCTCAATAATTAGGTTTCCATTCACAGGAGGCTAAGGAATAAAAAACAAAAATAAATTTATACAACCTGTTAAACCAAAGATGATGATGATGCAACATGAACACTATTAAGTAAGTATATACTGTATTGCCAAACAAGATAGCAGATGTAATATTCTTAAATGAATTAGTACTAGGGCCTAAATGATAATACACTGTATATACATTTGAAATTACAAAAATCAACAGTTTATTCACACAACGGTGTGTGTCCGCATACCACTTGAAAATATTAAAAGAACAGCAAACAAACTGAGAAACCCATGAGACAGGAATAGTGAATAGGAGGAAAAAAAGTTTAAGCTTGTGTTTTGTAATAATATAGTTCCCGCAAAAAGGGGGAGAAACAATGGAATATACTTACTGTTTCTTCTTGATGATGCAATGCGTTGTTTTCATTAATGGAAACATGTCGCTCATACTGATCCTTAACAAGCCGGCACTGTAAATTCAGTTGGTCAGATTCTGTAATCTTTGTGTATTCTTCCAACGCCTGTAGAGCTATGATGGTATCCTAACCACATAAGAGAGAGAGAGAGAGAACAAGATTGTGTGGTGGTGAATCAGGTCTTTGTTTTGAGGTTTTATAGATTCTATCAAACCTCTTTTGGATAACAAGAATGAATTAATAAATAAATAAATAGACAAACCTGGGTAGAAACAAAACCCCCATCATAGTTTCTCTGTTCTGTCAACCAATTGACGATTGGGTTGCAATACTCAATATCATTGTTCAAAACTTGTGTTCGGAGTGCGTAACTCGTTGTCTCCACGGCAATAGCTGATGGCCGCCTTACATACCAAAAAGGCTTTTTGCTTCCAGCAAATGAACTGTCATTTGCTCCCCAGTGCCGTGTAGGAACAGCTGATTGGAATGTCCCGCCAATACTTTTGGAGCTACCTATGGGAAAATTTAAAAAAATGTACATCATTTGTTGACTCCTCAGAAAAGATAGTATAATACATACTACAAGTATCGAAATGCACGCCACCGCGAGAGGATTCAATATTTTGACATTAATTATGTCATCATCAGGAATGATGATGACATAATTGATGTCGAAATATTGAATCCCGACACGATGGCGTGAATTTTGATACTTGGAGTATGTATTATACTATCTTATCTGAGATTAATCAGTGGAACTTTCGGTTGTTGATTCCTGTTGAAAAGAATGAAAATTTTAAAACTAAAACTTTTGTGGCACTGGTCCTTCACAATGTCATTTTGTAAAATATTGCATCTTCAATTACGTTGTCATAACTACCATCAACACAATCGTTATTAGCACTATTATTACCATCGTCATCATCAACATAATCGTCATCAATATAATGAATTCCCCCACCTCAACCAATGGTCAATAGTCAATTATTGTGCACTTGTATAGCGCATATAACCTTCGTCTCTATGCGCTTTCCAGGACAACAGATAAAGAAAAAATATGGAAAAGAAAGTGGTAGAAAAGAAAAATACAACACAAATAAAGTGAAAAGAAAACAAAACAGGAAATTTTAGAGATTGTCAAATAAGCAATATCATTATCACTATCATTATGGTTATCATCATTATCGTCCTCTTTATGGTATTTATATTTGATTACAATGAAAATTAACCTGCACTGTATGTTGCAATTTCCCGAAGCTTCAGGTTCATTCTGTCTTTGACAGGACTATCTGCAAGTGTAAGTGCAAACGTTGCAATTGCAACGGCAAAAGGTCTCGTAATCACGCCCTTCTCAAACTCTGTTTCAATAAACGTTACAGCTTTTTCAACAGCACTTGAAACTTGATTAGCCTTCAAGAAATACAAAAAAAATCTACATGATACAATGTGTCTTTATAACTATGATCAAAATACCAGTGAGGCAGCGTATCATCAGACATGAAGGCAACAGATGAGTATTAAAAAGTATTCACTGGCATAATGCAACTCATAACTGTTATTAATGTTTTACAATTATATGTATAAACCGGGTTTTATCCAGGAATGTTATTTTGTCAGTATTCAGACGAAAGCTGGAGCTAATATCAATTTTACAGGTAGTCTCAAAAGTGCTGTAGACATTTCCTATAGAGTACTACTGTAACACTGTAACATCAAGATACCATGTGATACTACTCCGTTGCTATCGTTGCAAAATACGTTCAGCCGGACGCCATTTTCTCCACTGACAACCCATTGATCCCAATTTCTAACGTAATTATTAAGATGTATCTTAGATTTTCTTTGTAAATTTTAATTGATGATTAAATGTGTGTTCGATAACTAATATAATGCGAGCTTTGTGTTTTTAGTACATTTTGATGGTAAAATATTAGATTTTAAAATGCCTATTCCAGAAAGCATATGAAGTCATTCAGGTGTAATGAACGGTAATCAACGTCTGGTGGCGACAGAGGGCGTCACCTGGCGTTGTGACGACACGACAGTGGTACTCTATAGTGACTGACTGACTGTACTGCAATCGTTCATTGCGTAGCTGTCCTTAACGCAATCGGGAAGCCTTCACGATTTGACCAACCAATCAGCATCATCAAAAACTGTCGGCGATAACATGTAGCGATTGTATGGAAACCAATCTTTACAAGAACAAATTACGTTTCTTAACTTGCAATTCACTTATTTGAATTATTATCGTCCAATTTTAAAGTGCATATCAGGTTCCTTTATGCGTTTTACTCAAAACAGCAATTACTAGGAATATGCTTGTAGCTTCTATACAATCGCTACAGTGTCGCTATAGCGTTTTCAGAGCAATCGTTGTACTGCGTAGCAGTCGCCGACGCAATCGGGAAGGCTCCACGATTCGACCAACCCGCGATTATATGGAAACCTAGCTTAAGACTAGGCCTATATGTAACACATGGCGGCTATAATAGTCTAATAATTTGATGGAGTTAAAATATTTAATCACGATTCAAAATGTACGCTATACGCATACTCAAACAACAAACCCTCCCCATAAAAAAGAAACACAAAATAACGTTAATGCACTCACATGTTCAGCACAGGAACATTCCAAGAGAGTAATCAGAACATATGCAGTGAACGAAACATCGCCTTGGACACCTCCCTAATAATAGAAAAATATATATGCAGTGTACTCTACTGTACATTTAGATATTAATGAAAAATGAAGACAACAAAAATGGGGAAAAAGGTATTTTAAACTACAAACACCGGTTACATGATCTGCATTTAACATAGGCCTACACCATGGGTAAGTTAGACATACATTCACACGAAGTAATAATAGTTCACCATGCCTTGACAACTAGGGAGTAAATGGAGATATGTATATATAATCATTTTTTGACAAAAATTTCATGAAATAAGCCTCTACACACACACACACACACACAC